CTGCCTATCGTCAGAGCGTCTGATGTGATTTGCAGCTTAACAGGGCCAAGAACAACTTACATTGACAGCAAAGGGCCATTTGACTGACATGCAAACTGTTGTTTAAGCGTAATGCGTAGGGGCAGGATACAAAACAGGGCTACAGTGAAGCAAACATACTGGAATACGGAACTTCACAGGTTTTTTCCATCCAGCTAATACAGCTTGCCTTAGAAGACTCGCCAACATGTGCAGTGTGGGCATCCGTTTGCAAAATTGTGTTTCTTTTGAATAGAATAAAACCAGTGCATGAAAAGTGTGTACACATGGATGTGCAGACATCTGGAATGCAGCTGACAACATCCTAATATTTATGAGCAGCTTAACTCGCAAAAGATAAAGGTTTTGATACTCGCATATTTGTGGGCAGCTTATCTTAAGCGAAAGATAAGATACTCTGTGCCTCTATGGTTAGCAGTGTCTGAGGCTTAAACTCACCATACGTTTACATTAGCAGTGCTTTCCTATGGGCGTAGGCAATTTGTAACTGTGATTTAGTTAACAAGCAACACAGTGGCTGGCTGAAGATTTTAATGACTAGATCAAACAAATTCCTCAGGCCAAGCATAGACATGGGGGTTAATATAACCAAGGTTAATATTTTAAACAAAGCAGCAACAACCCAGATGCAACTACAAGAACGTCCAAACACACCCACATGAGACAAACCTGCGGTGACGTTACTGACTTGTCACCTGCGAGTATGAGTGTACGATAAGCTGTGTTTAGCTATCTAGGCAGGCAGGTAAAACAGTACTGAGTTTTACAGGACTGGGACTAAAACACTTTTTGGATGTGATTAGTTTAACGTGTAATTATTACCAGAGTATGGAACTTCAGTTATATCAGTAACCATTCATGGACTATGCACTATTACCTGTAAGGGTTATTGTATACAAGCTATGAATTGAGCTGTGAAATAACCCCAAATATTCAATCTCATGCAAGTTGATATACTGGCAAATATACGGCTGTATCATTTGGGAACCTAGATGAAGCTGAAAACTATTGGCCCAAAATATGAAACCAAACGTTAAAATCCAGAAAACATTAGTAAAGGACTTGTCAGGGGAACAATGCTTCTGTTGGCTTTATGTAGGCTACTGTGTGCAGTAGCTTAGGTATGCTTTATAGGCTAGAGATGGAAAATACGATGTGTTTTTTGTGATAAATTACGTTAGAATACATGTTACTGTCATTGGGGTTGTCAGTACTTTTAGAAGACTAAACAACTGCACGAATTGTAAAAAGACTTATTTAGATCAATTATAGAGAGGCTGTAAACAACAACAACAACCACTGTATATAGTAACTGCGTAAACTTTTTGGAGGTCTTATTGGAAGTAGTTTATTTGAAGCCAGCCCTTTACACTAATATCTCATTAATTAAAAAAATAGAATTAAGTTAATGGCTTAAAAAACTTTGAATCATTATACTGCTAGTTTTCTAAAACATGGCATTGCTGTTTTTCTGTTGTATCTTCCTATTTGTTTGCAAAGTTCAGAAAAGCTAAATATCCCTCTATATACTGAGTTGTTGTAAAACCGCCTTCGAGTTGGGATGTTATATTTTTGCTGTATTCCCCACCCCTTACATGTTGTCTATAAATAACATAATACAGAGATCACACATCCTGTACAAATAAACATTACAGACGTCCTGTGATAACGCTAGTTCACAGACATACGTCCAGAAAACCTTCTGAATATTGTCTGTTCAGAGTCTGTGTAAGTCTGTGTTCCTTTCAGAGGGATACAACCGTAACATTCAACAAAAGATCTGTGAACACCACTTAAACACACACGCTCAATGTGCCCAAACACGCAGAAGGGCGTGCACAGAAGCTAAATACTGCACCTTCAAGACATGCATTTCCTGCTGCTGGAAAACTTGAACGCACATTCTCTCTCTCTTACACACACACGCACACACTCGGAGGAAATAAGCCGGGAAATGCTGGAATCCACCACCCAGAGTCTGACTCATACTGGAGCAGAGCAAGAAAGAGGGAATTTTGTCCAGCCTCTGTAACCCTGCATTTTAAAGATCTTTACTCAGACTTCGGAAACAGTGAAATATTATAGCCTTTTAGCTGCCAGTTGACCTTTCCATGCTTTGCCCACAATGCTTTCATAGTAACCGTTGCAAAGTTGGAAAAGCTTTACCGAACATTGGCAAAAATCCCCGCCTAATTAGAAACTGTGACACACAGCTTATTTTTTGTAAAATATGCAAAGTTTTTTAAGCCTTCTATGCACTTAGAACTGGGCAATAGAACAATTTTTATTGTTGACATGATAAATGACATCACAGTATATCACAGTATGCTTTTCTGAGCCTCAAGGATATTGTCTACTTAAAAATTACTTTCCAACTGCATGTTTGATTAAAAGGGAGCATTATTAGTCATGTTTAATTAGATTTAGTGCAGCACAGTGTGTGAAATGTTGTATACAAGTAATTGGATTCATAATTTTTGATAATATTTCTTTGTCTGTTCTAACATGTTAAATAAAAAAAATATATATTGTGACACATTGTGTATCGTAAACAACTTCCTGAAGTATTGTGGCCTGTGTTGGGCACCTCTAGGTACACTACAGGACTTTTAAACCCATAACAGATTATAAACAGATTGGCTATCTCACACCATCTGACTGGTTTCTGGATATCTTTTGGGTGACTGAAATATTGGGGATCACATGCAAAATGACTTGTTGCTAAACCTCTGGCAGCTTACTGCTGCTTGTTGCACTGACACTGTAGAGAAGTGGCAGGTAAAATCACATTTGGGTGAGGGTGGTGGATGTGATGTGATTAGCATGGTAGTTTTTAGAGTTTTTAATGTACATGCACTTGTTTGTGTGGTTCATTAAAAAGCATTGCTACACGAGTGAAAGTCTGTTTGCCGTTTTTCTAAATGAATTTGTTGTATTTTCTTCTTTTGCGCTGTCAGTTCTCATTGGCTCTTGGGGGAACCCTTTCAGATTGAGTTGCTGACTAGCATATGCTACTAGATCACGCTCATAGTTGGGACGAAAAATATCAAATGTTTGATATACTTCAACTGGTTCTGTAATGTGATCAGGAGGCTAAAAATCTGTGTCTCTGCCCTTCGCACGCTTCCTCATTTTCTCTCCCAGCCGTCCACTTGACTGCCCAGAAAATCTTTAGGCTATAGTCAGCCAGCACAGACTTGGCAAGAAGGAAGAAAAATTGGGGTAAATTGAGGTCGTATAGTGTAACCCTCGCTTTAGGGTAGCTACATGAAGTTAACAGAATAAAATGCTACCCTGCTGCTCGACAGTTTCTCATTAGGTTGAATGAGATTCTTGTCAGTACAGTATAATTACAGATTTAAACAGACAACTGATTTGTAGAAATGGACCAAAAAAAAGCAGATGTATCCAGATGGAGCCCATCAGCTAAGACATGCTTGGTTTTCAAAGTTTGCTTCTTTTGTTTTGCAGCAGCGCTACGAGGCTAATAAAACAATTTTTGATGTAATAGACTTCCATTACTTTTTAGCTACGTTAGCCTTATAGCTTCAGTGTAAGATGTAAAAAAGAAAAGCTAAGCCTGTATTTCTCGGCTGTTACATCACCGGAGGTTGTTTCGTTTTGTAGGATCCTTCAGAAGCAGCCTGAAAAATGTATCCTTCATTTGTGAGAATTCTGCAGCATCAGAGTCTAAAATAAAATGTAAACTTTTGTAAAACGTTTTTAGCAAGCGTAACGTTGCTTACGTCACGTTGCTGTGACGTGTCAGGAAGGTCTCGACTGCATCCTTATCTTTGAGACATGGCTAGTTTCACTCAAAAATACATCACGGTAAGAAGGGAGAGTGACTTACAAATCACTATGACTTTAAATACTATTTTATTTTATTTATTTTAGAAGACTTTGGTGTTTGTTAATAAGAATCCTGCATGCATGCTAGTTAAAGTGTGTCTGCACATGTGTATACATTAAAAACACTGAATGCGTGTCTGTGTGCATTCGCGTGTGTGGAGCTATTCTGGAGAGATTCCCTAAATCAGATTCAGTGCATGGTAATGAGATTAGAGGCTCAACAGAGTGTCTCTCTGTCATGCTGAGCTGTAAAGAGCCACAGGTCTTTCTCACTGCCCTCAGGTCAGATCACACACAGTCAGAAATCAGTATTGAATGAACGACTGCATCAAAGAAGAAGTAAGGTTGGGGTCAGTTCCATCAGTTGTTTTGAAATAAATTCTAGTTCAGCCAGTTATGAGAAACTCAGCTCACAGATTATTATTCATGTTTATACTCAAAGGTACTAAGTCTAAAAAGCAGTGTTGGTATCATCATTGATATCTGTGTGAAAATTACAAAGGTATAGGATTTCAATGATATAGTCAGTGATATAGGATTATCAGTTATGATGGATCCTCCATTTTTTATATCTCGACTGGCTATACTGAGCTAAAATGTAGGGCTGATTTGTTTACCCCAAATGGGCATTTGGCTCAGCCAGTAGTCAAATGTGCACAGGTTTCCCCCCCCCAAATGTAGTTGATCAGCCAGTGTTTGGTGTCCAGAGTTTGCTTCTTCAATTTTGCACTGGAGGCTAATGTGGCTAACAAGTAATAAAAGCTTAGCAACCAGTTAGCATCATGCAAACTGGCCCACTTGTCACTTTGTGATGTTAAGTTATCCCAAATAGACATACTTATGTGGTTTCTGACACATATCAGTTTATTTTCCCCCGCTGTGAGGCCTTCATGAGCTGGGCTGAAGGCACTGTGGTTAAGATTAACCATCAACATGACTAGGAATTGACAGTTGAATCAACCATCAACTTCTGAAAGTGTTTAATCTACAACTGCCAGAAAATGTTAAAGTGCACCACCATTAGCTTAGTGCTAACATAGTATTATAAATCCCAATGGGGCTGCTAACAATTTTTTTAACCCCATGTGTGTTCCTCTTTTTCTTTATAGACAGCATCCCGGCAGAGCTGGAAGACCCGTTCTATAAGGATCAATATGAGCAGGAGCACCTGAAGCCCCCAGTGGTGTCTCTGCTGCTGTCTGCTGAGCTCTACTGCAGGGCTGGGAGTCTGATCCTGCGTAGTGATGCAGCCAAACCCCTACTTGGTCACAATGGGGTCATCCAGGCCCTCGCACAGAAAGGACTGTATGTCACTGACCAGGAGCGACTTGTCACCGAGAGAGACCTCTGCAAAACACCTATCCAGATGGTGAGAAACTGTTTTATTGTTACTCTTTTCTAATTTGTTCTCAAAGTTGGCCAAATCCTGTGTGATCCCCTTGAATGCACACAGTCTGTAAGGGTGAGGGCTACCGTGTTTCACATGTGAATTGTTGGGCTATAAATTGTTGATATTAAGGTTACATGGATGTATTGTTATCGACAAAACTGCTGCTAATGAATGTCTCATGATATACTGTAATAGGAATATTAGACATATAGTCTAATAATAAATCATGTATAAAGACCTTTTCTCACTAAAATCCTGCAGGGATTTTACTCGACTATAATAGCAGTGTGTAGTAAAATAATACAGCCAGTTAATACTCTTTATAGAATTACTTTAACAGTGAGTCAGTTGCATCACTAATGTATAATTCTCTTTACTTTCTAATGCTAGAAAATTAGTCTATGAGTGTCTATGAGAGTTAGTGGTACTGAATCATAATATATTTCTGTTTGACAGTTATCATTTGTGGATGTCTACATACTACAGATATGTAATAATACTGCTCCCATATCTCTCATAATGTGCTCTGAACCATAGCTGTACATGCCTGAACTAACAGAAATGCTGTGCTTAAGGAGCACTGTAGCAGAATGAACGCTTCTGTTGAGTGGCAGCAGCATGGACAGAAGTGATCTTGTTGCACAGCCTGAACAGAAATTAGTTATGACTGAGCTACGCGAGCTGCTACACTTTCACCGACTTCAAACAAATCAACTTTGAACAGGAAAACCAGATAGAAAGAGGGAACATAATTATTGTTATACTCCTTTCTCATTCACAGTAAAATATGTAAAGCTTGACTTTTTGGGGACCTCTCTGGTGGAATTGTGTAGTTGCACAAAATGTGCGGCAGAATATTTTGTAACATTGTGCTTTGGGCCCCTTCCCAGAGTGGATGAATCGGTTGATAGCGAACGTGTTAAAAGAGAATTCTGAGGATTTGAATGATCTACTATTGTTGTCATATCTTCATCAGTACAATGTTGATTTGCATTTGAGACCTAAACATCAAGCCAGACCTTCTTTTTGAGTCTATGCGTGTGAGGTTAATCCTTGAAGATGCATGACGTGGTCTGAAAAACATCTGCAAAATCCAACCAAAAATATAGAGCCTGTACTTACAGGGAATACTGCAGACCCGCTGAATAAGGGCCTTATTCAGCTCAGTAAAATTCTGCTCTAACACGTCGGATTCAGTTAATTATCAATTAACTTTCACAAGGTGAGTGTTGGAGCAAGAAAAACACCTAACAGTGCAGTGCTGCAGTCCAGTAAAACTGGCGTTTCTGCTGCTTTAAGTCATTCCAGTGTTGCCTTGCTGGAATGATGTAAAGTGAAGGCTTGGTCCAGGAGTGGTTTGTTTGTGTTTCCAACCTTGGTGCTTGGCTGTTTCTCCATGGTGGAAAGTCTGGGGTTATGTAATGGATTTGATGACCATGTTCTAGACAACGTGGAAAATGTTCTTTCTGCTCCTCTGGTTCTCTCTTTGTGTAACAGTCACTGTTCTGTAACAAGGACCCATCAGTTCTCTCTGATGCCTGTCATCAGGTGACGTAATCTAAATAATAACATGCTCTCACACATCAGTTACCCTCTACAGTACTGCATTTACCCACTGCTCAGCCAGGCAAGAAAACAGAGCGTGTGTGTGTGTGTGTGTGTGTGAGCGTCTCACACACACACACACACACACACACACACACACACACACACACACACACACACACACACTGAACTGCAGTGTTTACAGTCAACGTAAAAATTTAGCTTTTTGTTTTACCTTGTTAGTTTGTGTCCCTGATCATATTAAGCACTGTTCATCCTACTATACCATTTAAAAGACAAAAGTATTGTTTTTCCATGATCTTTCATTGAAGTGTAATGACTTCTGCCACTGAAATGTCTTCTTAGTTTTGGTTGTCACCATATACCAGTGTTGTGCATTGTGATTTTCTATTCACGTTGACTTTAAGTGAGTTTTAGCCTAGTTATTCTATTGTGGAAGTGTTGGAATGTTATTTAGGTTACAAAGCATTGATACAATGACGGCATGTGGTGTAGCATGTGGGCTTTTCTGGCACCCAGCTTCTGAAGTATGGTTCAGTAGAATACTGTAGATTCACCATTTTGCACACAATGCTCACATCTGTTCGGTTTCACAGACACAGAAGCATAATTCAGCCCTTACAGTGCAAAACACCAGAGTTTAATAAATACAGACGCATGAGAGCTGGATAGAGCAGTGGTAAGGAGAACTGCTGCCCTCTGCATTGCAGTTCTCTCTCTTTTATCTCTCTCTCTCTCTGTCTCCCTCACTTCCTCTCTCTTCGCTCACTCTCTCTCCTTCTCCATCTGCCTCTCGCTTTTTTTATACTTGTTCTTAATCACACAAGCATATTCTCTCTCGCTGTCTCTCTCTGCCACAGTTTCTCTACATATACACATATTCTCTCTGTAAGTCTCTGCTATTCTCCATCTCACACATATGTACACTATATCCCTCGCACACTCTCTTTCTCTCTCTCTCTCTTCCCTGTCAGATCATCCACTGCTATGGCGGTATACGGCCAGTGTGAATTTTTTATTTATTTTTTTTTTGTTACTTAATTTTTAATGCGCTTACATCAGAGAGACCACATAATTCAGCCCATCTGTTCACACACACACACAGACACAGACTGTGTGAATTTATGTCTTAAAGGGCCCATATCATGTAAAACCCAATTTTTTAAATATTGAAGTGGTTATCACTTAAACTGTTGTGTATTGTCTGTAGTAAATTGAATTTTTAAGTTGAAGCAATTTCAACTTATCAACTTCGATTTTTTAAGTTTATATAACTGATTATATAAACTTTTTTCTCGCTTATAAAGTTGTATATATTTTATTGATTTTCATACTTATTTACTTTACATCAGACTAGTGTTGTCACGATACCAAACTTATGACTTTCGATACGATACCTGCCTAAATATCTCAATACCGATACTGAAACGATACCATCAGGAAAAGTAATGGAATAATAGATGATCGAACATAGAACTTAAATTTTTTTGTTTTTTTATTAATAAACACAACAGTTTAACAATGTGAGGTTTATTCAGTATTTGCTCTCTGTTGAGCACAGCAGTAACAGCAGGAAAACAGCAGGCTCATTCACACGGTCAACAGCAGCTCTGGTTGAGTTTGAATCAGATAGGGTAAATAGCTGACTGACTGACCACATGTTTTCAATCCGAGCGCGCTGCAAGTCCAGACGTGGCGTGCGTGAAGGTCCCGCACACTGCCCCCTGTGGCACTCGTTGGAAATACTGCTCCTATTTTAAAACACGCTCATTCATTTAGTACCGGTACTAAATAAATGGGGTATTGTACCGATTTTAATGACGAAGTATCGCGATACTTTTCAAGTATCGGTATACCGTGCAACACTACATCAGACGTAGGGGTAAACAGCTTTTTAATGAGTTACATGATTTTATGCCAGACTTTGAAGAGACCATACAAACCGACTTCTGAACAGAGACATAAAAAGGTCACGTTTAAAATAAGTAAAAAAATGTAAAAAAGATATATAACGTGAAAATGTTCTTGTGAAAACAACTTCTCAAGGAAATATAACCCAGTAACAAACTAGCACTGTTGAGTTTATTGGGCTCGCAAAAATAATAATTGGATTTTCCTCCAGATAGTACAGGCAACTTGCCTGGATTAAGTGTTAACAACTAATTGGCGAGAAACTAGGTAGTTGTATTTTATATAAGTACACATAATGTCAGGACTTTCAGTGTACTTTGACTTGATGTACACAGATCCAGGAGGAGCAGTTGCACATGATTCCACCGAATTGTGTCGGCTCAGCTCGACTCTACTTTTACATTCGGCAAATTTGGTACCTGATACTATTTTTGGTATCACTTTTAGGTCCCAGGTGAGCTGAGCAGATTCCAAAAGGTGACGTGGAAAAACTGCAGACTACTGATTGGTTGAAGAGAATTGTCACCCTAAACACATGCTGTTGTTAGTTACCAGGTTTACGTACCCTCTTGTCTCGCCTTTGAGCAACCAGAATCATCTTGTCGTCTGAACTTTGTTATAAAATTTCCCGAACTCTTCTGCTTTTTTTCAGCAATCTTTTGTCTTGCTGCCATCAGCTGCATCCGAACAAAAATGATCTCCTTCACATCACAAGAGTTTCGTGTTGCATCGCTATGACGACCAGCTACATTGAGGGGATGCTATATCTGCAGTGGAAAGCAAAGTAGCTGGTACCAAAGAGAGCAGAGTTGAGTTGAGCCGTACTATGCAGTGGAAAAGCACCATATGGTGAGCATGTCCAATGCCAAGTATCAATGCCCCCCCCCAGCATTGGGCTGTGGAGCAGTGGAACTGTGTTCTCTAGAGTGATGAAGCTCCATCCAATATCTTAGATCTTGAGCTGGAGTGGAGTTTGTGAACCAGAATTAATCATCCAACATCAGTACCTGACCTCACTGCTTGAGTGCAATCAAATCCTCACAGCAGTGTTCCAGCATCTAGTGTAAAGTCTTCCCAGAAAAATAAAGGCTGTCGCTGCAGAAAAGGGGGAACAAATGTCATATTGAATGAATAACAACTCCTTTTCAGACGAAATGTTAAATGCGTCGATGTCTGCACATTTAACTTTTGGACATGTGGTGTATTTTATGTATATATATATATTTTTGTGGACCACTTATGTGTTATATTCAGACTGTTGTGTTGTAAGATGTGTGACGTAGCATCCTCTTTTTTTGGCTTTGAATGTGCTGTTACTGCTAACATATATACCAGATGTGATGCGACACTGGTAATGCAAAACCTTTTGCTTTTCACAACGGTTGTGAATGAATGTTGCAATTGTAATTGGGGGTAGGCAATGGAAAAAATAGTGTGTCATGATGCTCAAAGAAATTTAAATGAAACGCAACACGCATCATGATATTTTGACACATGCATAA